ATATTATTATACTATATGCCCCAGAGATTAGAACAAAATACTCCTGCAAATAACACATAAAAGATGAAGGTGAGGGGGAATAAATACAGACTAAAGAATGTTTTGCTTTTTAGAACTCAAATTACCATTCTGTTTTTTAAAATGTATTTTTCCTTCTTAGTTGCAGCAAGAATTATTTGTCATTTTCTTTCTCTTTTTATGGCTCTTAGTTTTAAAATGTATATGTACATAATGATAATATATACATATATGTATATTACATTAAATGACTTTTTTCCCTCAGAGAATACTAATGTCTATTTTCCCCTGGAAAACTAGTTGTACTATTAACTCACAGCTCTGTCACAGACCAGGCCTTGTAAGAGTTCTCTTTTTATATGTGAGAGGCTTCATAGATACAATAAATTAATTGGTTAAAGGACATTACTTTCCTAACTCAAGTAAAATCATTGTACACCCCTTATCTGTTCAAATGTTAGAAGCGAATTGACTTGAATTAACTGTTGTAAAAAGAGTAGAGTGGAAATCAAAGATTGAGTTTGGTTGGAAATTAACAGCTGAGAGATGAAGGTGCCAGAATTTTTATTTAAATGTGGTACAACAAGATTCTGTCAGTAAAGCACATCATTAGAATATTGAGTTTAGAACTGCTAATTTTTCCTTTAAAATGAGCATACAGTCATGTGTTTCATGGACCATAATAAATTGCCATTGTGTTGTCATTGAGTTTGTTTTGCTTTTTTGGCGTACTGGTTTGGCAGTCATTCTGCATTTTCTCTTTTCCTTTTTTTTTTTTTAAATCTTACATTTCCTTAATAGAGCCCTAACCACAACCAGTCAAAAAAAATGTTATTTATTTCAGTCTTAGGGTTAGCATCTTTTGCACCACTTTCTTGCTTACGGTAGCAAGACATTTGCAGATGGTTCTTGGTTACTGTAAAGTACATAACAGTATTTCCTTTGTGGCAGATGGATTTAAGACTTTTAGTTCTCAATAAATGTAGGTTTACAATACATAACTTTACAGGATTTGTGTTGTATATAACAGGTTTGAACATATTATCTCAGAATTCATCTGCATGGCATTTTCAGCTTATTCAGGGTCCATGCCAGTTTTTTTAAGTAATAGAGGGAGCGCAGTGATTGATAGCAACAGCTCAAGGCGTGATTTTGAATAGAAACAAAGGGTTTGGAACAGAAGGTGTCAAATTAAACTTTGTCAGTTTGAAAAGTAGTAACATCCTGAAAGTTTTACTAATTTATTTACATGTGGATACTGTTTATATTTTGCCCTCTTTATATGCAGTGTAATGTTGCTTGGCAAATTTACTACGTTTAAAGTTAAGGTTGTTCCTTGTACCATTTTAGTTTTCTGAGAATGGATGGGTCTTGTTATTTTAAGGCTGTTGTTAGTCTCCTGTTTTTTCTGCTGTTCAAGACAGCTGTGATCTGATTTAATTTTGAGAGTAGTTCCCCACTCCTCCTGCCTATGATTTTAAAGTACACCAAGTCCCAGTTACTTCTCTTAAAAACAGTGATGTTCACATTTTGCAGCAAAGTACTGCATTTCATTCCTTATAGCTCTTATCCCAGTTTCCGTTCCAAAACCAGCACAGTACTTTGAGGAATTGTTATTTTTATTGGTCAGATATTGCAAATGTTCTCACCTGTGCATTATCTGAGTTTATTTGCGTTAACAATATCTCTTACAGAAAACTGACCTAAAAAGATAATTGGGGAATTAGAAAGCATTTGGCTTTTTTAGTCACTTTCTGCATAACAGAGATTAATTACTTGTCATCATTAATAGAGTCACAATTGATGGGATTTGAAATAATCAGAATATTTAAGTAGTATTTAGTATTAGAATGAATTAATCTAATTTTTGCCAGTGCAAATTGGGAACAAGCCAGTTTATTCCAAGCTGACAGAGAACTAATGTGCAAAAATATTTGTTTTCCATTATTTCTTAAGGGACACGCCTATCAGGCAAAGCACCCCCCCCTGCCCTTTTTTTTGGGAATACCCTTGTTGAACTAACAGTTCCCAGCTGCACTGTTAAATATTTTTTCTAAGAAGCATCTGATTTCAGTCTCTTAAAATCATCATGTCTCTTGAAAGGCTAGCAGAGACATGCATCAACTTGTAATTCATCAAATTATTTTTAGATAAGGAATTAGAAGTATTATTTAAGGGCAGAGGTTAATAGCAAACTACTGGAAATGTTATGTTAGTCTTGGGCAATTAATAAAAATAAGGATCCATCTTGTAAGTATAGAGATGCAGAAGTGACAATATAAGCAAAATATTTGTTGAATAAGTCAGGGCTCTTTTTCTGAAATATTTGTTAAACCAGCATGAGTATGATTGTTTAGGAATTAGCTTGTCATTGTTAGCCATTTTAAAAGAACTAATGATTTTCTTTTCCAAAGAACATCTGTGATCCACATGTTTTTTCACATATATCCAAGTGTTAACTGATCTCTACGTTACTTTTAAAAGTTTCTGAAGAATATGAAAAAATTATTGGAATTTTTCAGTTCTCTCCAAGAAGCTTTTCTTATGTGAATCATTCTTAATTTAACTTGTAGTAATTTTTACTTACAAGCATTTATTTCTAAAAAAAAAATTTTGTAGACTCTCAGTGTTTAGCATTTATTGCAATAGTAAAATACTAGCTAAGTTAAAAATCTTTTCTGGTCTGTTCTTGATGAACCTTCTAACTTCTCTTGAAAGGTAAATAAAATTGTATGATTTCCTGTGTTGAGGCATATAGGGGTACTGTCAGTTGTCATAGCCAAAGGATGCAGACAGGAGGAAATAGAAAGTATTCTTCACCATACTTAATATTCAAGCTTACATGAAGATATGTACCTAAAACCTACACAGTAACAAAATTTAGAAGTTTAACAAAATAGCTTAGATATATGAAAATATATGTTGTTTTCATAGCTTAATCCAGATAGCAAATATTTACCCATAAAAACTAAATAAATGTCTCCAGGGCACCATATGCAGGTACTTCAAATACTGTTATGTAGCTAATACTGTATTCACATAAGTTGAATTTATTTACAGTATTCTAAGAATAAGCATAGAATTGCTTTGGTTAGGAGAAACATTTTCAGTGACACTGTCATCACAATGATGATTTTTAAAAAATTTTTATTTAGCTGATACTCTTTCAGAAAAATCTTGATTTTACTGCCTGCTCTCTTCACCTTAAATTGTATGTTCAGTGGCATTGAATGGGCGTATGATTGCATGACCAACCTCATATATGTATTTGTCTAATTCAAAGACTTGTTAATTAGAGACTCAGACACTCTCAGAAAAATTAGTAGATCTCATAAGTTTTAGCAGCAGTCTCTGTTAGCTGGCTAGTTGGTGGGAATCTAATGTGTCATTCTCCGTGTTTTCTTTTACAATGTCTCAAGTTGCCCATTTTGGGGAGAACAGACTTAGATTCGTTTCACTGTCTATTCACTCAGAAGAATAGTCTAATGGTTCCATTTGAGGAGGGAAGAAAAGTCATGCCATTTTTTTGTCTCATCACCCAGTAATATAAAAAACAAAATGAAACCCTTCCTAGTTAGATCTTAAAATCACATAATTGAAGACACTGCTCTGTCCATTCACATCCAATTAATTTACTAAAATGTCCAATAAACTCCTTTATCTTAGGTCAGGTTCCCTAAGAGCAGAGCCTTGGATAGGGAATTGGGTACTTAGGATTTAATGAGGGCCCCAGAGGGAGGGAGCAAGGATAGGGAAGAGGAGGGTCCAATAAGAATATGGCCTCAGGTAAAGACTAGGCCTAGAATGGCAAGGATGGCTGTCTAGTGAGTAACTCAAAGGACAGAGTGAGTTCCCTTGGGATGGTGGTGGGGACTTTGGACAACAGAGCCAGTTACTGGCCATGCTGGGATGAGGGGATGAGTGAGGAAGTAGAGCAACCTTCCTAGTAGTGTCTGTAGGTGAGATGGCTCCAAAGTATTTTTCCGAGGCAGAGAAGAGCTCAGAGCTGTTAGCAGGCAGCACAACAGCTGACGGATAGCTGCCCTGGCCAGTGGATGTCTGGATGGGAAAACTTTTTCTTCTCTACCCTGTTACTTTGTATCTATCATGGCAACCAGAATGAAGGTTTGAGAGGCTGACTGAAAAATAATGCTTCCTTTAACCACTCAGTTCATAATAATCCTAGGATCAAATTCTGGATCTCAGGATGTCTCAGAGAGGTTCAGATTTTGGCATTCACTGGACATTTCTTTCTTTCTTAACCCAGAAAACCTATTAAAATTCTGACCTCATAAATCATGTGCTCATTTTGCAGCAGGCCAAAAAAGCAGGACTGTTCTTTTGAAACCTCTTTCTTGGAGAAGATGATTTTTAAATTTAGCAGATACTCTTTCAGGTAATTCAGGTAAATGGGCATTCTTCTAATGCCCCTTCTAATCATTATGCCTAACCAGGACATTGTTTTTGCTCACACAGTTGCATATGTTTCTTCTCCTCTTTTACATACGCACACACAGACACACACACAGATTTTCACAGTTTTTCTTCCTACTACAGAAAGTATATGATGAGAAAAGCCTTTTAGAAAAGTTTATTCCTAGAATCTATTTTACCCCTTCTTAAGTACCTTCAGTGTTCTTATGTGGCCGCTGTCAGACCAGGTTTGGCAAGAATGAAAATACATGTCTTTGCTTTTCTCCTATTTCATGTGTTGCAACATCCATGATAAATACTCTCCTGTATTTGGAGTGTGAAAATAGTTTGTCCTTCTTGGTACAAATCTGAATGCTCAGATGTAGAGCCTGCTTTCTCAATAGCCATAGCTGTCCTCTCTAACAAAAAGAAAAAAATTTTAAACCAGATTGGAGTGTTGTAAGCATATGGAAAAGTTAACGTATAGTGTCTTTCCTTCTTAGCTCCTAATGCAAAATGCCAACCCCGCCCTGTAAACATGGACTGACCTATTATTCCCTTGTCCCAAGGGATGGTTGTGTGAGCTGTTACGCTGGAAAGAAGATCCTTCTCCGGAAAACAGGACTCTGTGGGAGAACCTGTCCATGATCCGGAGGTTCCTCAGTCTTCCTCAGCCAGAGCGCGATGCCATTTATGAACAGGAAAGCAATGCTGTACATCACCATGGAGACAGGCCGCCCCACATCATCCATGTTCCAGCAGAGCAGATTCAGGTTCGTTTACCTTGGCCAATTCAATATAGCACTAAGTAAATAAAGCTTTAAACTTAGCAGGGAAATTAGCGATTCTCTTCTTCCAGCCAGTCTAAACATGGGCTTTTTAGTGAGAGATAATAATATACTGCCATCTTGCTGGGGGATAAAAGGAAAATTAACATACTTTTCCCAACCTGGGTACTGTGTTCTTCTCCCCAACCCCAAAGTGGCAGGAACCCCCTTCTTGGACTTCTTGTTTGGAAAGTATGTTTGTCAGTGTTGGGATTTGTCTGTGAATGCTTAGAAATGTTTTGGTTTTCCAAAAAATTGGAATTTAAAATATCACCTATTTTTTAATTAATACCTCACTGCCCCTGAGGAAAAGAATTATTGCTGTTCTGTAGAGGAAGTTTGTAGAATCACAGTTTTATACCTTGGATTCTGTCCAGAGAGGGGAGGGAACCCTAACTGGACTTCTGCTTTAAACTCCAGCTCTCCCTTGATCTTATAGCAGTCTCCCTACACCCTCAGAGTGCAGTGCGGGGTGAGTCTCATCTGTTTGTCTTTCCTTTAGAGCCCCTCTCCCACCATGCTTGGGAAAGGAGAATCTAGAGGCGTTTTCTTACCAGGCCTGCCGACCCCTGCACCATGGCTTGGTGCTGCTCCTCAGGTGAGCGGGCACATTCCCTATGCCAGCAAGAAAGGGAGACGGGCCTAACACAAACACCTGCTCCCTTGGTCAGGATTTTCAGACATGCAAAGATAGTTAGCACAGCTGTGGCCAAAGACCTCTGTGCCGGCAGATCCAGCTTTGTGCTTATGTGTCCTGTCAATGGCTTGTCTCCATCCATTCATTCAGGGACCTCGCCTGAGAACAGATTCTGGGGCCAGGTAGTTTGTGGGACTCCTGTGGCCTCAGTAGCTTAGAAAGCATGTTCTAATTGAATGTGAGCTGTATAACTTATTTCCATCAAAAGGATGTATTTAGCTTTCTCCTCCCAGGGACCTTAAAATTCTACCCTTTGTTTGATCACCTACATTATTTCTTGCTATTGCTGTGGAAAATAAATTATGTACCTACATACAGATATATATATATCTACATATATATCCCACTACATATATATCCACGTACCAGAAAAAAATATCCTTGAGTATGTATTAAAGATAAAACTAATTGGAAAAGAAAATCCCTGAGGATATCAAGCACTAAAATAGTCGTGAAACCCTGAAAACTTTACTGTTTTAGCAAAAAAACAAAGAAGAGAAAGATATGTTAAGTAATAAAAATAGTACTTGTTTGGAAATGTAAATTATTTTTAATAAAATTTATGGGGATAAAAGAATGCTTAGGCATAGTACAAATTAATATTTTGTCATATATTCAGATTGATTTACTTTGCTGATAAGAATTATGGGTATCATGTATATAGTAGATGTATGTGTCACACATTTGTTATGTATCATTATGTATGGAAATCACAGCACATATACAGATACTAATTATGAGGAAGTGTATACACTAAATTTAAATCCTAATTGCATCTGAGTTTACTATAGACAAAACAATTTGCTAGCCGTTGTTTGGATTAAACCTTTGTTTTTGGTTAAGGAAAAAACATGAAAGTCAGCCTAGTGCAATTTGAAAAGGAATTGTGTGTATTTAATTGGAACTGTCTGATAGAAAATCCACAAACATGAGACTCTGAACCGTCCTTCGGACTTGTCAGACACAGTGCTGAATAAGAGCAGATGCTTTTCTTCTGTTCCTGCTCAGCATTTTAGACATCTGATGAAAGGGGGCAAAATACAAATTTCTTGCCCTATGGTTCTGTAGCTCACCTTTCTAAAATGTCTTTGAAATACTTGCTTCTCAATCTTCATTTTAAATCTTTGTCAATTATTTACATCAGAGTTTGCTCTGCTGTCTTTGCCTTTGATGTATATCTCATGGTGAAGTTTATGGCTCACATTTCCAGAGTGCTGAGGTTTCTCCTCTCCTGATCTCTGATAAGCAAGCACAGTAGCCCTAAAAGGTGTACCAATTTGTATCTTCCTACTTCATGTCATTTTGATTTTTTTTTTTTCCTGAATGCTGTGGGCCATTTAGCTAGCCTGACTTTCCACCCGGAATCTTTGTTCCTGGTAAAGAAGCTACTGTGTATGTGGAACTCATAAGCACATATTTTCTAATTCCAGGCGGCTTTGTGTGGGATGCCAGGAGAGCAGAGCTCTGATTGCTTTTTTCTTTTCAGCAGCAGCAACAGCAGCAACAGCAGCAGCCACCAGCTGCCCCCCCGCAGCCTCAGCCCCAGCCCCAGGCGCAGGCAGGCCCTCGGCTCCCCCCACGGCAGCCCACCGGGGCCTCACCCGCCGAGTCCGACGAGGAGAACCGGCAGAAGACCCGGCCACGAACCAAAATTTCAGTGGAAGCCCTGGGCATCCTCCAGAGCTTCATACAGGATGTGGGCCTGTACCCAGACGAGGAAGCCATCCAGACTCTGTCAGCCCAGCTCGACCTCCCCAAGTACACCATCATCAAGTTCTTCCAGAACCAGCGATACTATCTCAAGCACCACGGCAAACTGAAGGACAACTCGGGGCTGGAAGTGGATGTGGCAGAATATAAAGAAGAGGAGTTGCTTAAGGATTTAGAAGAGAGTGTCCAAGATAAAAATGCTAACACCCTTTTTTCAGTGAAACTAGAAGAAGAGCTATCAGTGGAAGGAAACACAGACATTAATGCTGATTTGAAAGACTGAGATAAAAGTATTATTTTCATTCAACAGTGCCACTGGTATTTACTAACAAAATAAAAGTCCACCTTGTATTTGCTCAGAAAACCTTTGTTGTTCATTGTTTGGCCAATGAATCTTCAGAAACTTGCACAAACAGGACAGTTGGGAAAGCATAGTACAGACTGCACTAAATGTTTTACTCTGTTCTATAAACTGCTTGGCAGTCCCAGGTGAAGCATCGAGGATTGTTTGGTATTAAAGTTTGTGTTCAAGGGGTGCACCACGGTGTGTACCCCATAAGCATGATACCAGAGATTTTTTTAAAAATTATTATTATTCTGGAGCCTCAGACAAGCATTATAACTTCTGTGATTATGATTTCCTCTTCAGTTATTTCTGTAACACTTCACACTGATCTTTGAAAACTCGCCCCTTATTTTAAAAAAGAAAAAAGAGTTTGTTACTCTATTGTATGTTACAAAAGAACTATAGACTGTGGAATGCAGTTTAAAGATGACATATGCCAACAAATGCCTTGTATTATATGGCACTGCCGTAATTCAAATTTGTTTTTATTTTGGGAATAAAAATTCACTGTAATTTTTTTTCATTCTCATTGTTACATAATTTTTTTAAAAAAAGGAAAAGAAAATGTGAAACACAATTTAGTCATTATTTATTTGTAGATCCTGCAGTGTCATGTTGTAATTAATTTTTTGAAAGTTTCCGTTAAATGCAATATTGCTTCTCTTGTTACCATACTGATTCTTTTCTATTTATAAATGTATTTTGATGGGCAGTAAAACAAAGTGTCTTAAAAGTTTTAAATAGAGAAAATGTGCTTTACACAGTTGCCTATAAAAAGTGCTCTATGTTATCCAAGCAATTCATACTATAAGCTTCACTCTTATTGTTGTATGCAATTTTTACTATCATGCAAATAAGCTTAGGTAAATAAACTAATAGATCACCTTAGAAAATTATGCAATTAATGTGAAAATAATTGATGTTTGCAATGTGTCTTCCTTTGGTTTACAATCAATTTTAAAGCTACATCTGTATAAAATTTCTGTATAAAGGTGTATTTCTTTTTTATGAGTTTATGGCTATGAAAACAGCTATTTTGTTACAGCTGGCTGTTTTTATAAGTGTATCACAATTTTCTTTATGCAGAAATGTTCTGAATAGGAGTGGTTATTGACTGTAACTACACAATTAAAATTGTTTGTATGGTATGACATAGTAGGGTTTGTCTGCTTATGTGAAGTAACTAACAAAGGATGGCCCTCATTTAGGTGCATGTTAATACTTTCTTAAAGATACTTTACTGATTTTTAAAAAGGACAACTGAAAAGTCACTTGAAACACTGTAAATTTAAATCACAAACACATGCTCATTTTTAATAGGTATGAATTTTATAGTGAAGATGATAACCTGTTTTGGGGTAATAACATTTTGCTTAATAATCAGGACAGTGAAAAGATTCCAACAAAAACATAAATCTAGTCCTTAGCAGTTTAGACTTGATTCACCTGCTTTTATTTCACAACCCTTCAAGTATGGCAACACTTCTCCTTAAGCTAAGGTGTATTTTTAAAGCTCATAAAATAAATAAATAGGGGGGAAATGGGAATTGTGTGTTAAAAAACCTTTCAGTAAGCATTGTTTTCAGTTGTAAATGGAGAAAAACTCAGCTCGGTTCACTGCATATGTCGTAACTGTAAGAACCACATGAAGAAAATAACATACCTGGAATTTCATCACAATCTTTAAAATTCCTGCAACATGAAACCTTAGTAAATATGATCACAGAAAGGATTCAGGCCAGTGTTGTAGTTACTGGTATTTTTTTGTTTGTTCTTTTCTCTTTACCTTCTGCTTCCTCCTCTGACAGCCCAGCAGATGTTAGGGGTATCTGGATTGCTGGAGATGTGGTTCTGCAACTGCCCTTTCTTTTTTTGCCTACCATCTCCACAGGCCCCAGTGAGCTCATTGGTAGGCAACTGGGCAGTTTAAATGGGATCATTGAGAACTCTCAATAAATCTTTAAAGTTCCATTTACTTTTGAAGCCCAGCTCCACTACTCTGAAGGCTGCTGATTTGTGGCAAACTACTTTGATTAAATGAGAAAAGAACTCTGTAAACTTTCCTGTTTGCTAGAGTTCAGAAGAGTAATTATTTGAGCCAAAGGAATTAGAATTAAAATAGTAACTAAATTTCATGTATTAAAACAAAACAGAAACTAGTATGCCATTAAGTTAAAAATTTATCTTCCTTCTTTCCCCTAAATTCCAGAGAAAATGCTTAGATTAGCATCAGGGAGAATTGACGTCTTCTTTAAAACCAGTCCAACACTTAACATAAGGCGTCAAATAGGAAGTTTAATAAATTTTTGGAAGAAGAAATAGGGTTGCAAGTACAATTTTACATTTTTGATAACCTAAATTCTTTTTGAAATGTTTTCAATGAAATGAATATATGTTAAAAAGTTTTGCTTAAAAAATTCTCACTTTTTTTTTTTAACATTTTAAAGTTGGCATGGTTTTGCTAGTTAGTGTAAGGCACATGTTAATAAACAATGATGGCCATGATAGAATGAGCAAGGTTGTTTTCAGGGAAGGCTTAGAAAAGATTTGTCTAAGTGATCATGTCATTTCCCCCAATGTCTTTTATCACCTTTGCCAGTCCTGCTCTTGTTTGTTGCCTGTGGCTATGGTGAAATTCCTTGAACAAGCTTCCTTGTGTCCCAAGTATTTCAGTGACTTTTAAAAGCTGGGCATATGACCTAGTGCTTCGTGCTGTTAAGACCTTAGCAGAGTCAGGTAGTTTACGGGTAATATTCAACCTTGTGCATCTGAATCTGTCATGGATTCCTTCACTCAGCACTTTGCCACTAATTTGTATTACACTCTGTGGCCATATAATACTTGCACATTATGCAAAAAATAATGTTGATAGTATCTTCTTGCCACACAATATGCAGAGTTGACACATAACCTTTGAGAAACCAAGGTAACTAATATGCGTGCCCTAGTTGTGTGGCACTTGATAAAAAAGTCTGTACATACTATATATAAGATGTGTATTGATTAGCATTTAGGCCTAAGGAATTCTGAGCTTAAGAGTTTTTTTTCCCTAAGTAGTGATAACTATATCTAACTGTGCTTACCTAAAGTACATAGCTTGAGTAGAAAACATTTAAATGGTTCAGTAAAATTGAGAATCCCATACATTCCATGATTAAATCCTGCCCTATTCCCTATTGTTAACATCTGGCTGATATTAAGGTCCTTGATTGTCATAATATTTTCAATAAATGAGATATTCTAAACTGCCTGGTGATATTTTCGAAGAGAGCAATTAAAATGTGTACACCATATAAGATAGCTGATAAAAATAGGACTATTGTCCTATTTTGTCAGCACCAGAAATGTGCATGACAGTGCGGGAAGCAACAGAAGTCCAAGATATTAGTCATCTAAAGTATCAGAAAATACTGATAATATAGTCTACCTTACAGTGTTTTTTTTTACTTTCTAAAGGGAAATATTGGATTGAGGGTTCAGAGGCAATCCTTTTAATGTAAATATTAAATAGTTGCATGTCTTCACAAAAGCTGAACTACAATCTATTATGCACATTTTGATAAAATACAAAGTACCCTTATTAAAGAAATGTGGAAGGTGAATGTTCAGAATACTCTACCTGTTTAACAATGCCATATGTTAAATAAAAATAGTTTGGAATTAATGTCTTAAGAGATAATCAGCATTTTTAAGCCTTTCTTATATTACTGTACTTATCTGGAATGAAAAAAATATATATATCCCAAACTTAATTTTATCTAATGAACACTATCAAAATTCAGTTGCAGCTCCTTGCTTTGTACCCACATTGTCTAAGAAGCCATCCTTTACCATCAGTTATTTTCAGCTACTTATGTACATAAACCATGATCAGAAGCACTTGGCTTGGGGCTGTTCCCTGACAACAGCTGAAGACGTGGTTGATGAGGAAATGCAGTAGAGCAGTATATTTGTTGCCTTGCAAAATAAACATTTGCAGAGCAACTCTAAAGTGATATATTTTGCCCCAAGTTAAAGTTTGAATATTATTTCTTTACTGTTAGTTGAATCAAAATATTCAAACAAGTTTTCATTACAGTGACTGAGTCTTTAATTCATGCCCTTACACCTACCAGAAAAGAGAATGATGTCCCACATGCTGCTCTAATTTTCCACTCATGAAAGAACCAATAGTATCTGCTTAATGAGAAGGTTGGAGAAAGTTCGAGTATTTATACATATCCATTAATTCATTACATATTCAGCAATGTGACACAAATGAGCATTTGTCCAGAGTGCAAACCTGTTGAACAGCATCTCTGTGGAAACAGGTTTCACGTATTCCACCTTTGTTTCCAGTTTTAATTTCTAAGTACAGTATCGGTTGTGCCCAATCTAGTACAAAGGTGTTCTGTCTTCTGAGGCCCCTTTACTAGCATTGTCCTCAACATGTTTAAAATGATAATAGCAACATCTGTAGAGTGTTTCATTTTACCTTGTTTAAAGCTCCCCTTTGCACTATGAGGTACTTAAGGCAGGCACTGAAATTCTTCAAAGACGAAGAAAAATTCAAATAGGTTAACTGATTGTTCAGCTGTTACATGGTCACATTATTCTCAAACCCAGCCTATCTTCAAATTTCTATTTTCTCCTTAGTAAAAGGTTTCTCAAGTGCAGAAAGAACTAATTGTAACTCAAAATTTTCAGAACTATACCATAACAAATGTAAAATGGATTTTGCTAATATGGGAAAGTTGATTATCAAAGTAATTCAAATCAAGCTTCATCATAAAATGTTAATCCTAAAATTCTGCTGTCCTGGTATGAGGTATACACACACCAAATATTTTTTTAAAAACAAACTACTATGAAAATTTTCAAACGGACATGAAAAAGTAGAGATAATGAACTCCCATGGATTCATCCCCCAGTGTAACAACTGTAACATTTTTCAGTTAATAAACACTGTATAAAACTTAAGATTAAGATGAAGCTAATACAAAAATATTCAACTGTTCAGTGCTTTTTGCCCACAATAATATTATGACGTCATCATGTTTTTGCAAAGTCATGAGATTTCTGATTTCTAGAGAAAACATTAAAACTTGAAGTTGTTTCTCAGAACACAGTTTTTGAAAAGCCAAGTTTTAGAAGAAGAACCTGTGAGGATTCCACAAATATTTGTCACATAAAAAAGAGACAAACCAGCCTGGGCTCTCTTTATTTATAAACAATACGTGCTTTCATATCATTGTTGAAACTAAAGTACATAATTTTCACTTATGCATAATAAAATATGTAATTAAGCAACATTCCATGGTGGATTAAAGAATTAAAAGCTTCAGGTGCAGAAAAGAATTTGTTGGCATTTTCCTTTTCAAGGTGGTATTTCGAGGTGTTACTTCTCATTTTCCTTTGACATCTTCTACACAAATAAATAGAAACAGGTGAGAAGCAGAGAAAATGAAGAATTGGCTTGACTACTTTAGATCTGCAAACCACTGTGAGGGAGAATATCTGCAACAAGCCTAAGAAAACTAAATTAAAAAGGGCTGAAATCTTTGCCTAGAGAGAAAAATAACATTTTTAAATGGAGTTTTGTGCTTCAAGAAATAGAAATCACATAATAAAAATTAGCTGTGTTTGGTAACTCATATATTTCAAACTATATTAAATTAATTTATACTCCAGTACAGAGTAGTAAGCTTATTTTTCAAATGAAGAAATTAATTAATAATCCTTTGCTATGGTGAAGTTAACAGAGGCATTTGGCATCAACCCTATTTTTTAAAGGATAACACATCAAATAAAATTAAACTAAAGTGTCAGAAGGTGTCAGGATTATTCTGAAAAAAATTATCCTACTGATCTAAGAAGAAAATAATGTTAGATGAAAATCTACACTTATCATCAGTAGGACTTTCTAGTGTCTATAAAGTTTTTCATGTAATGCTTAAACTACAAATAATAACCATGTAAGTTCAAGGAAATTCACTATCATGTATTACTCAAATCTTGCCACAGAAATATGGTGAATGAATGAGTTCTGACAATTTGCAGAAATGTTAGCCATAGTAGTGTGGAATGAGAACCACATTCCATAGACAATTCTCTTAGTGGTGCATTTTAAATTAACAAATATGAAGAGGTTTCTCGTAGTCTTTAAAGCATCATATCTGTTAAAAAAATTGTTCTACATCTAATTACAAAAAGAATTTGCTAAGACTTTCATATACACTAAAATAAAATAGGATAAAAAATTAATTCGGAAATTGGATAGAAAATAGTACATTGAAAAGTAAGCTTGACACACAGAAATGCGTATCATGAGATCCTATACAAGATTATATAATAAATTATATAATTTATTAAATGTACCAGCAAAAAATTATTGAGGTATATTTGATGTTTTAAAATATATGTCAAAAATATATGACATATCTGTATATACACAGGCATTGGAAGTGTAAGGAACATATCTATCATCCTGGTAGTAGTTTCCTTGTGTGCTGTTGTACTAATTTCTCCCTTTCATCCCTTCATCTATCACCATTCCTATAGAACCGCTAATCTATGCTCTTTCACTCTAGTTTGCATATTGTAGAATTGTATATTAATAGAATCATTCAGAATGTACTTACTTTTCTTAGGCTTTTTTCACTCAGCATAATTATTATAATATTCACCTTTGTTCGTTCCTGTTTATTGTTGAGGAATTGTCTTGGCCACTGTCTTTGTCCCTAGGAAAGACACCAACACTAAACACTCTCCAACTTAAGGGAGGAAAGGTTTACTTTGGCACACACTTTGTGGAGATTTCAGTCCATAGATGGCTGGCTCCAAGGCAGAGTCATGGAGGAGACGCTGCTCATGTTATGGTGGTGGGGAAGCAGAGCCTGAAGAGAGGAGCAGAGAAAGGAGAATACACCTACCAAACTGCCTCCAGTGACCGGTCTCTTCCAACCAGATCCCACCTTCAAGCAGCAAGCCAGCTGTAATAGCCCCGTAATCCCATAACCCACCAAAGCCCCACCTATGATAACATGGAGCTTTGGGGAGACATCTAGATCTAAACCATAACAGGAATATTCCCATTTATGGATTTATTGCACTTTGTTTATCCATTAAGTGCCTGATGGATATTTTAGTTTTTTCTAGCCTGGGGCTATTACAAATAAAAAAGCTATGAAGATTTATATGCATGCCTTTGAATGGACAATAGGCTTACATTTCTCTTGGGCAAATTCCTAGGAGTAAATAACTGTCTGTGGATATCATAGATACATGTTTAACTTCTTAAGAAACTGACAAACTTTTCCAGAGTGGCTTTACACTGACACCAGCAGTTTGTGAGAGTACTCATTGTTCCACAATCTTGCCAATACAGCTATACCTTGCTTCACGAACTTAATTTATTCCACCATTCTGGAAAAGATGGCCACATTTGTGTTCATACAGGAAAGATGACTGCAGTCATGTTTGTCACTCTGTGGCAAGTTCACAAACAAAAACAAAATTTTGCCAAACACAAGCATTCGTGAACTGAGGCACCACATTTATTTGATATGGTCAGGTTTTTTTTTGTTTGTTTGAAACATTCTTCTAAGTGTGTAGTGATAGCATTCTGATTCTAATTTGCATTTCCCTCATACATTGCATCTCTTTAATTGAATATATTTTCATTTGTTGATTTGCTATCTATATTTCTTCTTCTGTGAAGTATCTGTTGCTTTGTCCATTTTTATTAGATTTTTTCTTATTATTGAGTTTTCAGAGTCCTCTATTTTGTTTTGTTGCTCACTTTACCTTTCCAACAAACCATGCTATCCTGACTACTATAGCTTTACAATGTTTTAAAGTTAACTAGTCTAAGTCTTCTAAATTGCTACTTCAAAGCTGTCTCTGAGTATTTTCATTTCTTTCTTAATTTTAGATTTATCTTGTCAATTTCTACAAAAAAATCTCTGGATTTTGATGAATTCCAGAGATCATTTTGGGGAGAATTGGCATTTTAACAACATAAATTCTCTCTATATAATATTTTTCAAAAGAGTTGGAAAATATATTAACCAGAAAACTCTTTCATCCTCAAGTCTACATTTCACTTGATGTGTATAAAGAACTTAATTCACTCATTTCTACTAATTACCTTGGCCTAAAGCAGAGCATAAGACCAGGGATCTTACACCCTGTTGCTCAACAGTAAATATTCTATAAATTTAGAAAGTTATTGAGTAGAAACTTCACCCCTTCTTGATAAACTCTA